AAAGGTGTGCTGGGTAAGATGTAGAAGGTTAACCCTATATTAATATAAAAAATGGGATTTTGAAAATAAATTATTATACCTCTACTCTTCTCAAAAGTCACAGTTTAAGAGGACTTAAAAGAAATTGTGGCTTAGGGTAATGTCTGTAGAAGTGTCTTATGTATTAAGAATTTAAAGTGTCTTATGTTTATGATAATCAATAATTTAAAGCTGCTCCAAAATAAACTTTAAAATAGTGAAAGCTTTCCCCCTATTTATTGTATTTAAAAGATTTATACACATGGGTGACTAACATTTTCTTTTAAAGTAACACAGTAATATGTGATGTTTTCAAAATGTTGTTGAAAAATAAAGTATTAGAATAATCTGGAAGAAGCGTTTCAAGAATGGACAAAAAGGAAAATGGGCCAACTTCATACTGACATTCTACTTTGCAGAAGGGCATCTCTGCCTTGGCAATCAAATAGTTTTATATTCGTCTTGCCATATTTATAAAAGCAAATGACCTCCAAATAGAGCATAGCAACAGCACGTACACGTGTACAAACACACATACACACCACACACACACACACACACACAAATGTATCTATCCCTGCTGTTGTTAGTACTCAGCCCACTCCTGTGGCCTTGTATATGGAGAGCTATAATTTATATCCACAACTTAAGAGTGACTAGGGAAAACAGATTTAAATTCAATACACTTTGTTTTTAAGGAGGTAGCTATCCACACAGACATACCTAAAAGTACTGTTTATGATTTCATCTTGAAGGGAAGGGAAAGATAAAGCACCCATCAAATCTGTATACTGGAAGTTTTCCTCCTGAACATTATGATGGCTTCTCCTTTGGGAAAATGATGTGATTCGTCTAGCTGGCTTTCTTGTTTTTAATTTAAAATGCAGCAGAACTCACTGATAGATTTGCATTCTTCAGAAAAGCTGAGTTCTGATTAATCTTCTTTCTTAAATAAGATAATGCAATTAAATCCTAATCCCCTATTCCTCCAACTGAACCCTCAGAAAAAAGAGGACAGACATAAACTCACTCTTCCGATACAACCTTGAGGGAGAGGGATCAAGAGGTCAGAAGGCAGGAGCTGGGCACACTGCACTGTAACTGCTCTGAGCCTCATCCCCAAAGCAGGGCTGCAGCTGCCAGTGTTAGTCATTCCGACTCTGGCTGAGGGTCAAAGCACCACTTCCACACCTTGAGACAAGGGTGGTAAAAGGGATAAAAACCACTGCTTGAGGCCAATTCCTTCTTAGACCAACCAACTAAATAAAATCTGAACTTGCAGACAGGCTAGGGAAATTAGGGATGAGTATGTTTTAGAAAAAGTTTAAGTTTCACAAGCTGAAGCAAAAGTGACATAGCACTGCAAGTATTAAACCAAGTGTCTAAGATACTTCATTCTAGGTCAAGTTAGGTTACAGAGGATGATGTTAAATCTGTTTTTATGCTTTCTATGGGCTAAACAAATGATTCACTGTAAAATTTAAAAATAAGCAAATAAGAGTAAGAGTATAAACCACCACAGACATTATTTATTTGAATGTCTGTAAAATAAGTAAGATATTATTTGAGTTAAAATGTTCCTTTCCAAAGAATTGTTTAACTCATAGTCTACTCTACATGGATATTCATGATTTTTATCTAATTTTTAAATGATAAAGAACCAGAAAGCACACAAACATAAAGATCTATGAGCGTAGAAGCCTGAGGGGGAAAAAGGGTCAGAAATTGTGCTACATACCTCATTCATTCTGAGTATAATTCTTTTTGCTTTCTGTCCTCTTTAGACAGACCATTAGACAGCAATGCTGCCCAAAATATTGATTAAGATAAATTCTAACTCCAGCAAAATGCACATGATGGTCTTATTGAATTTCCTGTAACTTCAATAGCACCAAAAACAGAGAAAATAAAATTCAATGCAGAGAAGTCAGCACTTACTTAAGAGCTAGTCAACAAGACCAAGGTATGTAACGAAAAAACTCTTTGTGTATTTGTGTGTGTGTGTGTGTGTGTGTGTGTTCATATTCTTTACAACTTAATTTTTTTTATTGTGGAAAACTTTAAACATTAAAAACTACACAGATTATACCCATGAACCCCCATGTTCCTACAACCCAGCTTCAACAATTAGCAACTCATGGCCAATCTATACCCTACTTCCTTTTTTTCCGTTCAGTATTATTTTGAAGCAAAGCCCAGACACTATATTACTTCATTTGGACTATAATTTGATAGGGGAAAGGGAATACAATAGAAAGACTGGGTAGTGAGAGAAATGCTACTTCCTTCTCTCCACAATCCCTGCCCCTTATCATGACCACAATTTTAAGTAACATATCCAGGAACGCTCCAAGGAAAGAAGCCCATACGCCTCCCCAAAGAATTAGCACTGCAATTCCAAATTTACTGCAGCTTCCCAGTCACTCCGCCTTCCAGCTCAGACAGCACCTCCCTCCCTAACCAGCAAAGATAATTCAGGGAAGCAGTGATAGTATGTGATAGTAACAGTGTACCCAGTCCTTAACTCTGGCATAGCCTCCAAGGACTGCACAAAATGGAATTGTTTTTCTCAGCAACAGGCTAGTCACCACGTCTCTGAATTGATAGGCCTCCTCCAGTTCAGACAGGAGTCTAACTGTCTACCTTTTAAATCATATCTATGGCTAACTCCATGGGCTACCACTAGCTAAATGAGACAAGGAGGCAGACACAACAGAGCTGTTTCCCAGGATGGGAAAGGGAAAGGAACACTGCAGGCGAGGGAAGCAGTGGCAGAAACCCGACAGAAAGCTGGGACTCTTTGATAACGTAAAGTGCATCTTTACGTTATCTCCTACTTCTCACAGTCAAATACCAACCAAAATGGTGTGGTTACCCTACAGTAAACACTCCGATCGCCTGGAGAAGTAAATGGAGTTCCAGTAAAATGGAGTAAGAAAAGAACCCCAATTCCTCCAATACTCCTAAGTGTTTTAATTTTAGTAACATAACTAGAAGAAAACAAGCAGTGAAGATAGCACCATACATTTCTGCTGTTTTATAATGTAGGAAAAGTGTTTCACAATCTTAAATATGTCACCATCTAGTGCTTTAACTTTTAAAAATACCTACTTAGATTTCTCCAACAACCAAATACTAATATTCAGGCTGTAATTTCTTCTTGTTTACATAATAAAGAGAAAACTCCTCACAAAGGATACACGTTAATCATCATCATAAGAAAACTAATTCGAGGTAACTCCCAGTAACCTGTACCTTGGAGTAATACCTGTGAATACAAAGCCCACCAGACCAGCTGCACTTTGTAAATAAGAAAAGATTCTTCACTACTTGATTCACACAAATCATGTTTCACTCCAACCCCTTCCACTGCACACAACCTACTAACTCCGCTGCAGGGACAAAATTTACAATGAAATTTGACATTAATGATTTTTCATAGCAATAGAATCAAATACCTTCTCTCCATTTGTAATAACATCCCATTATTGGTATTTCTATTTCTAATTCTTTCTAATACTCCCTATAAAACAAAAATCAGTTCATTTTATTACTACACATCTGAAGATTAATTCTGCAGTAATACAAAGATTGTGAGGAAAGTTTCACTACAATTAATATAAATATGTCAAATTTCTCAGGTGAACAGCAGACTAAATGTACTCACTTTTGTTGTCTTTGTATAGAACGGGGAGGAGAGTTGGTGAATAGGCAGGTCCACGATACTACTAGAGTTTGTGACACTGTTACTATGTGTATGTTCATCTTCCCTGCTACTGTCATCAGACTGATCAAAATCATCACTCTCCTGGTCCATTTCCTCCTCCTCTTCATCCTCCTCATCTTGTTCGCCAGCATGCTCCTCATCCTCCTCTTGTTCTTCTTGGTTTCCCGAGGAGTCCTCATCTATGGAAATAAACCGATTGTTGTTTTCTTCCAATTGTCCTTGCTGGGAATCATTTTGGTCACCAGGTCTAGGTTCTGCTCCAACGACTTCACCATTCCTTGCAGTGTGCTCCTCGTCCTGTTGTCTTAGCTGCTGCTGCTGTTCCTCCTCTACCACACGATTCATCTGTTCCTCATCTGCCTGGCTTGAGGAAGGGTTCCCTCTCAGAGAGCCTCCAGTTCGTCGTCTTTTGCTGCCCACAGAGAGCAGTTCCTGATTCATTTCCAAAAGCCAGCTTGCTACTTCTTGAACCTTGGCTAGACTATCAGAAGATGCAAAGGTTTTCACATTCTGCAGGGGGAAAAGGGGGGCGAGAAAAAGGTTTGTACAATCTCCATTATCTTTTACTTTTATGTTATATGTCTATATTCCAAATTTCATTAAAGATTATAAAAAGTATCTGATGCCCCTGAGGCATTAAGATGTTCTTTAGGAAATCAATACAGAACATTTACATTATAAAAGTTATGAGACTTTATAAAGATATACACAAAATCATACAGTAAACAGCTTTATTTTAATTTCCTTTTTAAAATAATTTTAGAACAAAGGTTACAGTTTAATTTAGTTGCTTTGACCAATAAAACATAATCTACCCTGTAAAACAATTTTAAATTTTAGATCAGTAGTTCATAAACTATAACCTTTGTAAAACTTCCACAAAATGTTAAAAAGGGTACTTCCACAAAATGCTAAAAAGTGTATCACAAAAAAACTATTCACTGCTCAGTTAAGTTCAGGAAATGCTGAGATAAACCAAGATAAAAAGGCTTTTTTTTTTTTAATTTTAGGAATTTCCCAAACTTATCACAGAAACTTGTCTTTAGACAGTTTTTTGACAGGTATCAAATATAATCATTATAATTTTCATTTTTCACAATGAATATAAATCAACTGAACATCAAATAAATAAAAATTTTATTTCAAAAAAAAAGAAAAGAAAAAAGTTCGTAAGTTCATACCCTCTGACCCAGTAACTCCACTTCTGGCAATCTATCCTAAGGAAGTAATCCTAAAACAGAAAAAAAATTATGCAGAGAATGCTCACTGCTGCTTTATTCACAAAAGCAAAAAATAAAAATAAACATAAATTCAAATAATCAAAACCCAAATGTTCAAGACAAAGAAACCCATGATATTAAATATATTTATGGTGCAATCCCTAAACATGATGTTCATTTAAAAAATCTGTGAATCAAAACATGGATGATTGTATTACACTACCCTAAGGGCAAAATGCAGGAAATTATATAATCATAGCATGACTTTCAAGCTGTATAAGGACTAGATAGAAGACAACAATTCAAAATATACACTGCATTTGGGCAGTTGTACATAAGTGCTTTAATTTATTTTTTACCATATTTCTCAAATTTTATATATCAAGCATGTTTACTTTAATGTTTTTTAACATTGGCTCTAAAATTTGACTTGATATAGAATCTTCTCATAACATTCATTCTTAAATTTCATCCTTTGCAGGTATCTATATGTACAGGTTTGAGGTACATTAAAAAAAAATGCCAACACACTACACAAGTTCATATAAAATTCCTTTTAAAAACATCTTTAACGTTTATAAGATATAAGAAATATAATAAATATAATGCCCTTTTTTAAATCATGCCCTAAGAGTAACTACATTATATCATAATGATCTTATCCACTTCTCCACACCTTGCCACTAGATGATCTCCCTCCCAGAGGTCTACAGTTCTCACTGCAAGCTCTAAGGTGAGGTCAGTAAGTCCTAAAGATAGTTTTAAAATAGCAGTATTTCATTTTCTTTTCTATAATCTATAATTTCTAAGAAATAAGCTGTACTGTGGGGGAAAATTCTTAAATTCTAATCACACTAGAAGTGTAAATGTAGAAAGAGAAGAGTTCTAAAGATGGACCCCTGAGGCACTCCAACATTCTAAAAGAAGAGGAGTAGCCAGCAAAGATGACTCAGAAGGAAAATCAAGAATGAGTGGTATTCGTGCAGCCAAGCTAAGAAAGCATACCAAGGAGGAGAAAGTAAATAATGACAGCTACTGCTGTAACTCAGGTAGGATGAAGGCAAAAAAACTGACCACTAGATTCAGTAACCTGGATATCACCAGTAATGGGAGCAATTCTTGTTAGTAAAGTCTGATAAAAGTAGATTTAAGAGACTGGGATAAAGGGAATAGGGATGATGAGTATGGACAAGCCTGGAGTTTGATGCAAAAAGGAACAAAAGAAAGGGAGTGGTAACTGGTAGGGGAAACGGGGTCAAGAGAAGATTTTTGATTCTTTAAGACTGGAGAACTAGCAGCAGATCTGTAACTGACAAGAATAATCCAGCACAAAAGAAGTTTATAATGTAATGAAGAAAGAGAAGAGATGGTGAAGTGATATCCTTAAGTAATTAAAAAGGGATGACGAAAAAGCATTCTAAAGTAGAAGAACTAGTTTTAGTTAGAAAAATGGATACTTCATTTATGGTAATAGGTGGAAAAGCAAAGTGATATTATATAAATACTTTAAATTTACTTCTTTTCACCATATTTCTCAATGTGGGAACAATTCTAAGTAGGTGGGTTTTTATAGTGGTGGGAGTCTTTGGAAGTCCTCGACTCATTCCTTCAATTATTTCTTCCTTTGGTTTTTGTTTTTGTTTTTGTTTTGTAAAATAGAAGAAGCAAGGTTATCAGCTGAGAATGATGTTTGAAATTTGAAGAGAAAGGAACGAAATAAGTCTTCTAGGGGAAGAGGAAGGAAACTTTCCTTGGTGCAAGAGACTCTGATGATCAAATGTAATCAACAAACTGCTATAATATATGCTTCATGTGGCTTTAAAAGTCTAGTGGTTCTTATGTACAACTCTGGCAAGCACAATATAAAATTTATCTTCAAGGCAAAAGGTAGAGTTTCTTAGAAAATGGAATATATATATCCATTGTTTTCAGAAGATAAACTACAGGAAATAAAGATCATCAAAATCTTGCTAGCTAGTACATGTCAAAGACAAACTATGAAAACATCACAGGAAATCAATTTAAAAATAACATGCAAATTGCCCTTTGTGTGCCCAACCTAACAGGCATATTTTTGTAAGAATGAAACGGGTTCAATGACATATTAAGAGCAGCTTACAAAATGAAAAGACGAGAGAACAAAGGTCATAAATCACAGAGAATGGGTGTTAAGAAGGAAGGAGACTGTTGGTAAGCAGCCAGTCTACAAACAAACAGAAAGTTTACAACCAGCATTTCTAAATAGTACTGATACTGGTTACCAATGAACACTTCTGTTAACCAATTATGAATAATAAATTCAAATCATTATCATTGTGTAATGTTAGTGTTATATTGAGGGGAACACAGAAGAAATGTCTTAAGTCAATAAAGATAACTGACTCATATTTACAACGTGGCGTGTAAATAGCTTTCAGAGTAATACAGATTCTTATAGACAGACCTGGTCAAAAGTGATTAAATACAAGTAGAAGAATCAGATTTAAAGCACAGCCAATATAAAAAATACAATGACACAGCTAAAAGTCAGATTATAGGAAATCCAGATTATTTGAAGAGGCTGAAAATACCTACTGACAGACTTACATAAAAATTTTTCCAAGTAGCATATTTTATTGAGTTGGATTTCTCTGACCGATTTCAGGAATGGAATATGATAATATATAGAAACTAAGAGAAAAAAAATTCATTTTCTGTTGGTATTAAATTTAAACAAAAATAGTATTTTTAGAAAATAAGTTTTCTAATAATAATCTAAATAAGCTAATGACCTAATTAAATTAATAAATATTTATCTAGTAATTAATAGGAAATCAGAATCAACTACTAAATACCTTTAAGGGAGGAAAAACTCTTTAAAAAATAGCTTATAAAGTCCCAGATTAAAAAAAATCAAGCACCCATAATCTAAAACTTGAAAATGCCATACAGGAGAAGTTAATAAATGAGGTATTAATAAAAGCACAATTTTGCTTTTTATAATCCTAATTTTAAACTTTTTAAGAGAAAACTTTTTGCATCATTTAGGACACTGTCATACGAAAATCAAACATAAACAAGCAGAAGCCTATATCCTTTAAAAAACTATGTAAAATTTGAGGGTTCTCTTTTATTTCTTCTTACCAGTATATAATGTCAAACTATATCAGATACACGACTTACGTTTTTATCAATAACCAGTGAAATGGAACTTGAAATCAGTAAAACAAAATCTGATGGCTAATATATTTTGACATTAAATTCTATGATTTCCTGACAACTGGGCATGATGAGAATGAAAATGATTTAAAGTTCAGGAATAATACTGATAAAAGAAAACCAAAGAAATTTTAAATTGAAAATGTTCCTCACTTCACAGATCAAGCAATCTTGGTTCAAAGAGATTAACTATTCCTCAAGCTTGCTGGCTTCAAGCTAGCTTAGAGCAAAGCAGGGACCAGAAATTGACACTCAACTGAGATTTCTTTCATGTGCCTCAATCTACATAACTGCATATGATAAAGTCCTAAAAGAATACTATTCTCTAACATTGCTATTGCCTTCTTTTCCAAAATCAGAATCACTACAGCCCTCAAAGATTATTACTCTAAAACAAATACTCACTGGGCACTCAATATGCTTCAGGCACATATTAATTTCCTAGAGGATAATGTTTAGGAATGCTTCTTTACAAGTTAATGACTCTTAACCTGACCAGAACCCACAGTAAAATCAGATTTTACATTACAACTCTGTGTGTATATATATATATATATATATATATATGCAAACCTAAAGCAATGGTTTCAGAGAGAGGGAATAATGAAATGTTTCAGACGCCTAAAGTCTCCCTAAATCACTCCTCTTAATTAAACACCATCCCTTTCATTGTTCTCAGTCTAAGAGTGTTCTAGAAGAGCCTCCCTCATCACCTGGAGTTCCCTTCTGGCCACACCACGTAATAATTCTCCAGCTTCACAGTATGAACTCTCCAGATGTCAAATTAATAATTTATTAATCACTATGTTCAAACTGATTAAAAGAAAGTATCTGGAATACACACTTTAGTCATATCATATCACTCTGCTATTCAAAATCCACCAGGAGCTTCCCATCTTCACTCCAAATAAAAGTCAATTTTTCCAATGGCTGTCTGTTAGGCCCTGCATAATCTACGCAAATCCCACCACTCTGAGCTCCTATTATACTGTTCTCCCTTTTTCACATTGCTCCACCCTTTCTGTCCTTGTTCTTTCTTGAAGAGGAAACTATACTGCTACCTCAGAGACTCTGCGCTGGGCACACCCTGTGCTGGATGCTCTCCCTCATGTATCTGCATGGTTCTTCCCACATTTCCTTCAGGAATATTCAAACATCCTCCAAATGACACTTTCCCTAATAATCCTACTGAAAACAAACACTCCCTTGCATCTCATTACTCCCTTCCTCCATTGGACTCCTCTACAGCACTGAGAGTGTCTGTTACATAATGAGTGCCTATCTGCCCATCCATCCGTTTCTTCATGTGTTATCTGCCTCTTCCCACTAGAGTTTAAGTTCATAAGGAAAGAGATTTTCCTTTTTCACCACTATCTTTGGCACCTACAAAAATGCTCGGTTCAAGAGGTCCTCAAAACACTTATTTAGTGAGTAAATAATCATCCAGTCTTTTAAAGCTGGTCTTGTGCTGAGCATACTTTCCTCACCAAAGAAGAGCTATAAACCAGATCACAAAAACAGTATCAATTATTTTAAACCCATTTTTTTAAGTTGTGGTCTGTACTGAACAAGTCCCTTGTAAGACTCCTGAAACTGATAGGGTATAAATCTAGTATCTTAACATTTATTTATAAATTATATTCTAAGTCATAAAAATAATTTTTCCCTTTATCAAGTTTCTTGTTATTTTTAGCACATGCTATGAAAGATGTGACTAAGAAGATTAATACTTCAAAAGCATATTATCTGTTGAGTAATTCTAGTGCCACATCCCCTATACTGCAGCAAACTGGGAAATCCTATGCAGAGCTTA